CCCCACCCCGGCCCCTCCACCCGCAGATCTTCCACATGACCTATGACCTGGCCAGCGCGGTGATGAGGATCATCAACCTCATCGGTATGATGCTGCTGCTCTGCCACTGGGACGGCTGCCTCCAGTTCCTCGTGCCCATGCTGCAGGATTTCCCCCAGAACTGCTGGGTCTCCATCAATGGGATGGTGGTGAGTGCCAGCCCTGACCGCGCCGCGCTCCCTGCCTGTCCCCCCCCCAGGCCCCCGTCCAGCCCTGTGTCATCTGGCCTCTCTCCACTGACCCCAGGAGATGCCATCCCTGCGCCAGCCGGTGCCGTGCTGCCCTGACGGTGCGAGTGCGGATGGTGCACGGGGCACCTCATGCCTGCTGCAGGCGGTCTCCCTGGCGAGGTCTCGCGGGACCCAGGGCACCGGATCGATCCGGGTGGGAGGAAGATGCTGACACGGCACTCTGCCCTGTCCCCTGCCGCCTTCTCCTGCTAATTAGCAACAAAGCTGCTATTAATAAATAATGGACCACGTTTCTAATTGCTCCCTGTCAGCCCTGCAGCCTGCTACAAATGGCTCTTCTCCCTCTGTCCATCTCGTCCCGTTCTGCTGGTGTTTCCAGTCTCTGCTCTGTTCCCCCTGCCTGCCTTCCTCTCCTTCCTCTCCTCCTTGTCTAGTGCTTCTCCTGGGGGGAAAACCAGGGCTTCGCGCGAGGCTGGGCTGGGGGATTCCTGCCCCAGGAGCCACCAGCCCCTCCCTGCCTGAAGCCGCCTGCTGTCCCAGCCATGTCCACAGGGTCCCGAGTGTGAGTGGTGCAATAACTTGGTGGCTTCCACAAACTCAGAGCTTGTTCCCATCACACCATTTTACAGGGGCTCACTGTGCTTCTGTATATCAGCTTAAAAAAAAAAAAAAGACTACCTAAAGCAAAGCCAGGTGGGCGGTGAGGTGCAGAAACCCACCAGGAAGGAGCAGAGCACTGCGGGATCACCACAGCCCCAGCCGTGCCTGGCGTTGGGGTTCGTTTGGATCTCACCTGCATGGTGAGACGGTCAAAAACAAACAAACAAACAAACAAATCCTATTGCTGAATGCTGTTGGGAAATGCAGGCAGACAACCTGGCTCATCTGCCAGGCCTGAGTCAGGGCATTGTACCCATGAGTCACACACACACGCGCGCGTGCGAGCAGCCATGCACCAGCCAGGGCTGAGCGCCGCCACCGTCCTTGTTGCTGCAGAATGACTCCTGGAGCGAGCTGTACTCCTTTGCCCTCTTCAAGTCAATGAGCCACATGCTCTGCATCGGCTATGGGAAGCAGGCACCCGAGAGCATGACGGACATCTGGCTGACGATGCTGAGCATGATTGTGGGGGCCACCTGCTACGCCATGTTCATCGGCCACGCCACCGCCCTCATCCAGTCACTGGACTCCTCCCGGCGCCAATACCAGGAGAAGGTAAGACTGGGCTGGACAGGGACCTCACCCAACCGTTGCATCCCTTCCTGGAGCCACGGCAGCACCTGTGGGTGCAGCCAGGCAGGGCAAGAGCTCCGTATCAATACCATCCGCAGGGCAGGGACA